CCGGAACAGTTCCAACGAATACGAACGGGACGGATACTTTCGTTTGGAACTCGACCAATAGCGATCCTAACGTTCAACCAATATGTGTATCATGCGTGTCACACGAGAATACTAGCGGGTAAAAGAAAGATCTTCGCTGGGTATTTCGTTAAGCAGTTATCTGTTGCGACTGCTTTAAAAAATGTGTGCTTTATTCCATATGCACGTATTCATACCTACAAATAATTGTTTCAACAATTTTCATTCGAGTAACGCATACCTGTACAATTGGTTCTTTCGAGAATGAATATTCCCTTAACACAGTTAGCTGTTTTTAAACGAGTATACTCGTCACAACAAAACCTTGCCATTTCTTCAGGACAAGTATACTAATTAAAAATAACTGACTGGTGAATCGTTTCGATTGATCACGCGTAACCGTATCGGCGAGTAGCACATCGGTATCGAAAATGAGACGAGAACAGATAAGAACCGATCAGTTAACAGTACGTTTACGAATCGCGACGATTCGACGCATATGAAATTTTATATACATTATTTGATAAACGCGTACGTCGACTTTGATACAATCATACGATTACGTATCCCAATTGTCTAGTTTGAAACCTTTCATTCCCAAGATCCGAACGAACATCGATTTTCCTGGGAGCAATAGAATAAACTGTACAATGAATGTCCATAAACCTTCCGTTACACCCGCATTACGTTCTCGTCTGAGACGCGTACGTATATTCGAATATGCGTGAGTGCGCCCGTATGCGTGTGTCATTCGTGCGAATTGTGCGCGCCACCCCGTTTACGATTAAGCAATGCCGTGCGAGATACGTTTAAGGATACGTTAAACGTGCGCGCGTAACACGCGCAGTAGGATAAGCGACGGAAGGAAAATCAAAATTAGTTGTTACGAGCCTGGTATGGGAGAAAAGGGTGGGGGGGAAGCAAGTACGGGAGTAACCAACCGCGACAAATATTTCGTCTAACGATCGTTAAGTACCACGATTCAGGGTTCTCTTAGGTATTTCGAGAGTGAAACGGACGACCGGGCGACTTAGCGTAATTGAAGTGAATGTATTCTACTCGGTGAACCAGAAGTACAAGTAAACACTGTTTCTATGACGAATTATTAAATATATAAATATATATATATACAGACAGATACGTGCATATATATATATATATTTACGAGAGGCGTGCAGAAGAACATGTGTGTCCGCGTGTGTGCTCGTGTGTATCCGTGCGCGTGTACATAATGATCGGCCGCCGCGAAGAATCAGCGAGGTTTCGTCTAATCACACACAGATGAGTTTGCAAAGTTAGAATCGACCGTGTCGGGAGGCGCAAGAACGGACGGTAATTAGGTACCCGTGTTTAGCAGCGTCGCGATTATTCTCGCCGGTCATTCCGCCGCCGGCGTTCACGGAGGATAGAAACGGATGAAAGCGCAGCAACCACCGAATTATTTTTCTGCGAAGATCGGATCGTACGGGAGATTATTTTTACAAAGCGAGAATCGACGGTCTGCCGATTAACGGAAGCGGGATTAAACTTCCGGCGACGCGGACGGGAGGAGGGATGGCTTTTGTACGTGACAGAACCGTTTGACGAAGAACGAGGTATCGATTGTTTCTTACAGGAGAGAATGTGTGTGTCTGTGAGTGTGTGCGCGCGAGAAAGAGAGTGAGATAGAGAGAAAGAGAGAGAGAGAGAGAGAGAAAGAGAGAGTCATAGTTTTAAGCGTAACGATAGTTATACACGTAACGTTAGAATACAGAAAACCGAATGTTCCTAATGTAATGCTTTCATCTAAATACGTATATTTATAAGTATTTACGCGATAGAAGTTCTAATATTTATACCTTTGCTCTGTAACGTTTCTGTTTCGATTGTTTATCATTCCCGCGGGACACGCGACAAGCATCGCAGCAGCTGCCCGCGCGAGAGAGCCCGCGAACGCAGTAATTTATTTGAAGCGAGCTGTAACGAGAATTCTGCCACGTCCAATTTGCGCCGTTCAAGGGAACTTAACGGAAGTGCACGTACATTTTTACGAACCCCATGCGGACGCATACAAATCGTCTAGGATGCTGCTGCCGTACCGGCGCGAAGCTTGTCCGCGCGAAACCGAATCCGGGCAACACGTTACCAGAGACACGCGTCGCGGGAATATCGTTCCCGATCTCGCTGAGAGAGAGAGAGAAATTGTATGTATTTGCAAACATCGAGACCATTCGCCGCGCAGAACAAACGTCTGTGTGTCAACGTTCATTGTATGTTCGGTATTATTTTAAAGTGATTGTTAGCGGTTAACGATCGAGGGTACAAAGTGCGGGAGGAGCGGAAATCAAAATATTCGAAGAAAATCAAAATTACAGTGTAAGTTCATAGAGATTCGTTGTTCGTCGATAAATATTATTTGTTAGTCAAGGATAGTTGGATACGTCCAATAATATAGTCTAATAATCATTAACGATGTCGTTTCATTTCTGTACCCTGCCACAAATCACCGGACTGCGCAAGCTTATGCAAATTCTGTATGTCAGAATATGCTAAGCATACGGAAGTATATGGAAATTTAATGCGTTATTTATACAAAATATATGCTAAAAAACTGTGAACCATGAACGAAATTTATCCAAAATAGTCGTCCTGAATAGCTAATGATCACTCGAATAACTGGAAATCACTCGTTTGCCTTAGACAACGCATTCTAATCGTTAATGATGGAGATACGTTACAGGTAAATCGGTATACTATTTCTTTTTGAAAACATCGATTTCATTGATTAACTATTATATTATATTAATACCCTATTTATGAAATTAAAAGAGGTGGTATCCTGTTGAAAGATACGAATGCAGACTTGAAATTTGCTATTCATTGTGAAACCTTGGGTCTGGGAAGTCCCTGACGTGGGAGTCCCCAGACTCTTTCCGCTTCGAATTACATGTATATATTCATTGCCGATTGTTTTACATGCAACAATTGTTCTCTTGATCATCACCTAGTATCTCCGATATATTTTCATGGCTATCTTTGTTTATCTATCTTATCTTGAATTACAAATAAACGGTTATAGCATCTTAAGTCATTCTAGCCATTACTAAGAATAAGTTGTCGTTCTCTTGATTTGAAATAATTTTTCATTGTCTCCTTTCCTGCTCTGAAACTCTTTCAAGTATTTAACTTGTTTGACGACTTTCGAGGAAGTGAAATGATAGCCGTTTAAGGTTTGATTGATGGATAAAATACGTCGTTCTATTATCAATCGAGCTACCTAACACTACCAGCACGTACAGAGATTACAATTGGTATATTGACGCACTAATGTAAGTACTATGATAATGTTAGATAGTAAAGATTTAATAACACAGATCAGGTTGATACGGCGATAAACATTTCACCACTAGTGCAACTCCATTCAAAACGGTACCTGTTAAGTGGATCCACGTTCTGCATTATAATTGCAATCGAGAATCTCTAGAAGATCTTTAACCTAATTGCATCGCTATATTTAACATATTAGCGGTATTAGCATAATGATTAGAGAATGATATTTAAATTGGACGTAAACCGCCGAAGATACCGAGAAATTTTGACAGTCATATGCGTCTTAACGAAATAAATTCCATAACGATTATGTCACACGATAACGAACGCCAAATAATCGCAGCATTTCCCACACGGTAAGGTTTGTATACAAAAGCAAACAGACGATGTCACCAGTCAAATTTAAATTACTCATAAGCAGTTCTGACTCAAAAATCGCGCGGATCTATTTCAAGGTTGAAATTTCGACCGGATGTCGCTACACTTTGTTTACCCTGTATTAATGTGCTATCGAAACGCGATAATGTCAACGATGCATTCGAACGAATCTTTAAATCGCAATCAAAGAAAACCACGGCTACCTGGAAAATCCGAAATGAGTCGCAGATCCGCTGCATGATTTTTCCGGGGAAAAAAACCACTGACAGGTAATAGAAATAAATCATAGACTCGTCCTTCAGGAATCTTAATTTTCCCGTGCATTCTCGTTCTTCCGCCTCTTGGAGTAATACGCGCGCCACCGTTTTCCTCAATGTAACGCAATTATTTAGCCACTTATGGTGCATCGCGGGAGATAACACATCCAATGTCACCGGTAACATGAATCCATCTTGAATCGAGCGAGAACGAATGAACAACCTTGCCGTCATCGGCGAAGGAATGCCGATATCGTTCGAAAAATAAAGAACTCAACTCTAAACTGATTTCCGATTAATCACCCGCGGTGAAAGACGCGTCGATGAAAAAGTCATTAATTAAAACCCTCGATCGCAACAATACCGAGTTTCCTCCGTCGCGAACGGCACGGTTAGAAAACAATAAATTTTTCAACGATAAGGAGTTCCAGCGTGAAGCGATCGATCGGTTATCGCGATAAACGTGATTCGCGGCACGTGGTGAATTGGTCGAATTTTGTAGAAAAACGGCCGGCTATCGTTGCCCGCGCGCAACACGATTTACAGTGTTGATCGCTGCACAGAGATCACACGCGAGATCCGTGCGTTTTACAGCCGCTTTATCACCGGCTGTAAAGTTTGTAGTAGTCGGGGATCAGCGGAAAACATGCGTCGAAAGTTTGCGGTGTTAGGATTTTCTAGTCCGCGGCCGTCGACGGAGACAAGGGGGATGATGGGCCGAACCGTCTCGCAGGGGTCGATCGAACTTTACATCCGTCGATCTGGTTAAAAATCGCGCCGCGCGTTTTCCACGCGAGATAGAAGAAAGGAATACATTTCCAAGTAGATTCTCGTGACTTATCCGGTGAATCGTGAATCGCGAGATGAGATTTAAGCCTGTTTGCCGGCAGATAACAGCCCTTTGACTGAAGATGAAGTCAAACAGCGGCACCTGACCAAACGTAAACACCGGGACCCGTACTTGACCTATACTCGGTGTTTGTTGTTGTTGTTTGTCCGCGATTGCTCGCGAAATCAGTGTCGTCGCTGGTTTCGGGCCGGTGCGATGGTCCCGTAGCACGATCGAATCGTATATCCGGTGAATCTCGATTGCTGATAAGGTATTACGCGGTTCTAACGGTAGCCATTCGGCCATTGTTCGAATGAAATCTTAAGTGTCACTCGATCGTCGCCTTGAAACAATTCACGCGTAAAGTCCAAACACGGATTATTAATTGCATTCTCGGTCACGTAAATGTATGGAGACAAGAGGACCCGAGCGAATCGGCCGGAATCTCTCTCGTTATCTGATAAAACCGCGGTTAAACAAATGGTCCTTAACGGAAACGGATAAGTGTTATTGTTGCTGGTCGACGGGTGACGTGAAATCGGCGTTAATTGGATCGGTTCCGATACCGGCGGGAACGTCCTCGAAGATTAGAACCGACGCGAACGTTCGAGTCATCAGCGCTACCGACGACGCTGTCAAATCCCAGATCCAGCGGCCCGATACCGTAGCGTTCTCCGCGCTTCCTTTTATAATTTTTAATGGTAAACCGCCAGCGGCCGCGGCGACGATCGCGCCACTCGTACCGCCTCGTAATCAACCGAACGTAATTACTCCGAGTAATGGCAAACGAGTCGAATTGTCCTATTGTTCCGTGAGCAACGCGGCCTGTTCAGCGCCGCGAACCGCTTACATGCGAATCACGATCGGCGGTCGGTCGATCGGCCGGTGCTGACCGATGCGCGTGAACCGTCGACGCGTGTCGCAAATCGCCGATTAAATCTTATGCGCTCGCAACGCCGATGAGGTAAACCGAGCGAGGAAAAGGTGAATCCCAATCTTCCGGCGCGGGCATCGATTACTTAGGAATTCCCTCCGAAGACTGTACATTCATCCGACTTTCCGCCATTCCGCGCTTATCGTATTGCCTCAATCGCGCGAGCGTTCGATAAAAAGAAATACCTTAATGCGTAATGACCACTGAATCGCGCGCGACGAGCACAGTCGAAAAGAGGAGCAAGAGAAACGCGATACTCGTTAGCGCGGTGGATACATCGCCGGCGAACGATCGTTTTCGGTGTCAAGTCGATCGTCTTGCACGGATGTCGCGCTGTCTATGTTTCCACCGGGAAGCAATTGCACGGCTCGACGAGAATAAACGCGACCGAGCTGCTCGGACGATATACCTACTAGTGGGAATCCGAGGTAATCGATTCGACAGCGACGCCAGCCGCGTTTAATCGGCGGGCATTGCCGGAAGCGTTTCATGAATTTTAATAACCGCGACGCTCGTTATCGAACGAAACGGGTAAATCTGTGTCTTATGAGATTCGCGCTGGACACTTTTAATCGCGCCGCGTGCTGTTATCGCGACACCGACACCGGGTAGGGAGGAATCAAGCGACGTCGCGCGGCGCTGGTGGAGAGGGTAGCCGAGAATCGATACGAGTCCGAACGGGGATTTCGCGCGGGCGACGTCGCGAATCAATTAGCGATCTACGATCTACAATTTATTCGGGATAGGCGCACCTCCCACTATCGTCGCGCGAGATAGCGCACGTGCGTACGTACGGACGTACGGGACGGCGAGGAGCACACGTCGCATCTCTATGCACACCAGCGGCTCAAGCCACCGACAAACGGGCTGTGGCTTCTTTTATCAGTCAAGCACGACCGCGTGAAGCAAGCGGTTCGGTACGCGGTGGTGGTGCGCTTTTCACGGCCGAGTTTCGAGCTTCTTTCGGCGGGAGCCAGACGACCGATCCGCTGTTCGATCGACGCGCGCTCGCGACGATCCTCCACCTTGACCGAACCAGAACCACCCCCGCGACCCGACCAGCCCGCGTCGCCTTTCGCCCGAAGGATCTACGAGAGAAACACCGAACTCCTTTCGAGAACGTGCTGGAAGTTACGCGCGCCAGAAGTGGCAGGGTCAATCGAACATCAACGAACAATCAACGTTTTACTAGGAAACGTCGACACGCTGGCGCAAATTCCTCGATATATCGTTACTACGTAAGTACCAACGAGCACCGCGTTCGCCTCTATATTACTTCTGTCTCTTTCTTTCTTTTCTTATTCTTCTTTCTCGTCTCTAATTTTCGAAATCAAAACGAACACTGACGAAAGCGTTATCGTTCCTTGTTGCCGTTTATCTATAGCCAATCCGTTCCGTGCAGTTTATCGATATTCAGCCGATTTACGATTTAACAATGCTTCGACCAAGTTCTCGAAGGACGCTGAATTTTATTAGTTGCGAGTCGTTGCAAAGCGAATCGTGCGTTACTCGCGAAACGATAAGCCGCGAGGAAGAATTGACGCGGATGCGCGATTTTAATTGAGACGCGATCCTTCCCGCTTGGAAGAGGTAAGGAAGCAGAAGAGGCAGATTAGAATCAACGTGGAACTTACATCGTTGAACGGGAGAATGGTGCAATCGGTGCATTTAACGGGCGTACGTATTGGGTTTCGCGGAAGGCATAATTTCCTCGAAATCCCGTGGTCTCGTGGCCCGAAGTGGAATCGCGCGGGAACTATTAGCGATTTCACAGGAAATGTTGCCCTCTAAGTGGATTCTCGAATAAATCCTGCACAGCCGTTTTTCAGCTTTCTGCACGCGTGTAATTCAAATCCGACGACACGTGGGATCGGATTAATAGTAACACAAGAACCAAGTTCCTCGTGTCGTTAGCGATACTATGCTGATCTCGTATATAATGTTTCACGCGCTATCAAACCGTCTAGCCGAGGAGCAACGACTCTGAAGAGAGTCGCGGATCGCAACTATCAATCCGTCTGCTCCCCCGATTATTATCAGTTAATGAATAACCCGATCAACATCGATCTTCAAACACTCGTCGGAACCAATAACAAGATTTACGGTCACAACGTAGGGATCGATAACGCGTCAAGGTGATAGAACTTGCTCTACATTCGATCGTTAAGTCGGTACATCTCTTATTAAACTTTTCTTTCCTCTGATCAAAGGAGAAAGGCGTGTCGCTAATATTCCCCTATGCTTCGAACGTTTTCCTCTAGATCAAGGCTGACCGAAATAGGCAGATCCGACGTGAAACTATCACAGGTCGATCCCGGACTCGGCCAATTTCGACGAGGATTCTATCAGATCGCCCGCCAGCAACGAATCCGGTACGTGATGACGAATTCGATTTCAACGGAGAATTCGAAAAAAGACAGACACGTAATCTTTGTAATCGAGTTTGATGTATGACCTGCCGAGCGCTGACCTTCGAGCACGGTATTCCCGAACGGCGCGGCGCGTTCGTGCGCTGTACGTGTGTGTGCGCGCGCGCCCGCGATCGTGTCGTGTCCGGGAGGACAGTGTTCATTAAACGAACGAATTCCCCCGATACAATCCCGCGAGAATGCGACACCGCGCGAATCATCGAAAAAAATTGCAGGTATGGTCGCTTTTCCGGACGCGTCGACTGAGCCGGCACTGCTGAACGTAACTGATATGAAGTTAAACAACCGGCCGGATCACGATGGGCAATTAGCAAACGAGACCGACGCCATGAAGGTTAAGGATCACGCGTTCACCATATCGCGGTGGGACGGCAAGGACAATTATGCGCTCGATTTCGATTGCATGGAGAAGGGCGACGACGACAAGGTGAACGGATCGTCGGACATCAAAGCGGAACCGGAAGTCGTGAAGAAGGTGGCAGGTGAGCATCGTCGGACCTTCAACCGCGCATGCCATAATTTCCGACTAGATCAGGAATACTCACGCGAGCTACTTCTAAGCTATTTTTCAAAAACTCATGAATCTCTTATCGACGCCTCGATGTTTTAACGACCAGTCGAACCATTCGCAATCTATTTACGACTAAACCGCCGACGTTCACGGGAAAATACATACTCACGACTCAATTTGTAGAAACGGAAATCGGAGAGAAACATAAGAATAGAACACTGGGAACGCGAGTATCGGAGGAATTTATAAAATCTGTTCGAAACTTTGTGCAAGCTCGCAGTTTTATACATTCGAAGAAATTGAAGTTGTATAAGATCTGGTTTCTTATTGCTGATAGCTGCGATATGTTAAAGACGATATTAGATTCTGTTAACACGCGATCTGCTGAATATTCAATATGACTGATAAAAATTCCTATGGCAATTAGTACAATGAATTATTTTTACTTCCCACGGACGTAATTGTGAGCAACCAATTTGTAAAATAATTTATGATATTTAACACTTTTACGATAACTGCAACACAAGAAAACTAAAACCAGCCGTTTCGACTGGTACCCACGGTATTTCTGGTGTTGAAACTTTGATCTTATTTTAGTTCGAAGTCTTTTACAAGGTATAAACGTATAAAGATCCGTTGTCCAGCCGTACGATTATCGCAGCCTTGTAAAATCGATCGCGTAACGAGAATCATACGTGTTCGGTAAGGTATACCACGTATTTTTTTCACAATGATCCGCGCGAAACTTTCTTTGTCTCGCGGACGGTATTATTAAACAGTGAACATCCGGGGCAAGACCTCGTGTAATGAAGTGTAGACGAAGCGAAACGTTCGCTCGCCGAGCGGTATTAATAAAAAGAAGATCCGCCTCTTTGATTAAATCCCGAGAATCGATAATATCGCATCCGTATTGACGAAACTATTCGTATTGCCCGCGGCGAACGCGAAACAATAAGGAAGCATCATGACGCGTTGCGGCACCGTACATAAATAAAAACAATCGTTTCGAAACCGATAACCCTGTTCCGTATATTCCGTGTTGTTTTCCGCGCGGAGAAATCAATTCGCGAGCAGTGCTAAAAGTTTCAGTCGGACGTTACTCGCGTACGCTGTTCGCCGTCGTCAATTAGAACGTTCCATCGGTATGCACAATAATATCGGCTGATAACGCGATTCGGATCCGCGAAAAGATGAATCGAAGTCTGCGCGACGATTCGAACGTTACGTACGTTGATCCCGGGTTTATCGGTACGCATATAAAGAAACGTTGAACACCGATGATCGAGTGCTCCGTGAAACATCGCGCCGTGAGATGTGAAATTCGCTCGTTTCGCGGCAGCGGGTTTGAAAACCCCTAACGGACGAAAGAACAAAGGGGACATGTCACTGTCCAATCTTGTTGGTCGATCGCTTTCCAGTGGAAGTTCCCTAGTGACGATCTCTTCCATCGAAACTTCAGATGGCGATCCGGACTTCCACAATGACCCGCACGGATTCGACAACAACACCCACAGCCACGAGAAATGGTACCAGACCACCATACAAGTCGCTGTGCCGTTCTTCATCGCCGGGATAGGGACCATCGGGGCCGGACTGGTTCTCGATGAGGTCAAGGTACGCTAAACCGAAGCAGCTGTTCATAAAATTCTCGGCCGTGCTCGAAACGCAGAATTATCGAGGCGCGGAATCAAAATCGCGAGCGGCCACACACGATCGTAAATCAAGTATTTTTCTCGGCGCTCTCGTCCTCTTATCGATCCCGCGCTCCGGCTCTTATTGTCTGAAGATAATGCTAAACGCACCGCGCAACATCGTTTTTTTATTTACCGCTCGCGCTTGTGCATTTTATCTGCCGGAGAAATGACACGCAGCGTGCTTCCCGGGAACCGACTCCGTCACAATCTCAAGAATCTTTTACATAAATACCGTGCCTCCCCTACCGTCCGCCATCTCCGCCCCCGGTACAAACATTCGCGATTCGAGATTTTATCGGGTCCCACTAATGTGGAAATTCTTGGAACGTAATTTACATTCCCCGTCGCATTCCCGCTGTAAGAATATCAACCACCGGCGAACCGACACCGTCTTCCCCTCTGTTCATTCCCCCACAACCTACCGCCCCTCCGCCGTTCGTTTAATTAAACCACGTCTCTGTTCTAGGATTGGAAAGTGTTCCAAACAATTACTCAGTTGCTCATTCTGGTGCCCCCTTTGCTGGGATTGAAAGGGAACCTGGACATGTGTTTGGCCTCACGGTTGTGCACACAAGCGAATTTGGGGAACATGAACAGCGTGCGGGAGATCATGAAAATGATCATCGGTAACATCGCCTTGGTGCAGATACAGGCGATCATCGCTGCCGTTTTAGTGTCGATTTTCGCTATTGTAGTCCACGCGATCGTGCAAGGCAACCAGTACATTTTCGAGTGGGAACACTGCATGCTGATGATCGCGTCCAGCGTGTCCACTGCCACCAGTTCCTGCTTCATTCTAGGTAGATATTAACTCGTTTTGTAAGCAATGTTATTTTTGGACGGTATCGCTCGACGCAAGATTATCGACACTTTAATTCATTTCCAATCGTCGGTCCTTTAAACATGGTTTCAATCAATTTCATTGGACGGGTAATCTTAGAGTTTCGTTTTCATGAAATTTTTGATACGTTATCTCGAGAATCTATCGACCGCAGGTGTCTACGAACCATTGCTGCCTACAGTCGGTAAAATTTTGAGCACCCCGGGTGGACGTAGCGAATTAGTACAGTGAAAAGAAGCAATTACGTATTATCGTAAAATTTCCATCGAGCTCTAATTGGAACCTGGTAGCTTACTAATATTTAATTAATCTTTGGAACATCTAAATTTAAATCATCAACTGTATATCGCAGATCTTACTCGCGTGGTTATTTTAGACGTTTGATATCTCCGAATATTTTATCGATTGAACAATGAAATTATTGATGATCGAATAGTGTATATAAGCTCTAGGGATCAAGGCAGATATGATATAAGTTTTCGATAGTAACTTCTAATTTTGTCTAAAGTCACCTTTACTACATATGATCTTCTTCATATTTTCAAAACTTTAAAACCAAAATTAATATAAAGAAATGAAAACTAACTTAAATTACACAAGCGCTACAATTCATAAATCCATTGAATTATACAAAAAGTAAATAGAACAGAAAATGTGTATGCAGAACAGTGCATGCGATAACGGTTAACCGATAAAAAATTCGACGATAATGAAAAGTTACGATCGGTACCGTCGAAACCTTCTGCGATACGAAACATTAAAAACTTGTTGAAGGTAACTTCAACAATTATCCGAGGAACAAAAAAACGATTAGAAAAGGCAACGGTAAAAATATCGACGAGTAAACAGAAATATTAGTATTTCTCACTGAAAGTTTCAGTTAAAAAACGATACCTATTACTTCCGGAATAATCTAATACAATTACAAACCCTATTACGTTACTGTCAGTCAATTTCTTAACGATACCAATCATCGAAAACCGATTCGCCTCGTCGTTTCCGGCTTCCTCATTCGATACAATCAATCAAGTCGCTTCGACCCGTTTAAACGACGTTCATGCGTTGCAGGTAGAATTCCTGTACGCGTTGCAACTACGTCGGGAAAAAAATGTAGCAGCACTATTTGCAGATGCAAAATACATCAATTTTTTGCCTGGACGATTCCGTTCCTCTTCCTCAATCGCGTTTCGCGCGTAACGCGATTCCGTTACAGCGAACGTTTCTTTTATCGATGTACTTCTCAACAGATTTCGTAATGATCGCCGTAATTATGGTGTCGTACCGATGCAAAATGAACCCGGACAATTTGGCGACGCCTTTAGCGGCGTCCGTCGGTGACGTCGTATCCCTGAGCGTGCTGTCCGCCATCGCGTCGTCGTTGTTCGACAGAATACGGACGCAACCGTGGATCCTGTACGTTGTGCTCGGCTGTTACTTGTTAATACTGCCGTTCTGGATCTACGTTGTTCTTAAGAACAAATACACCAGGAATGTATTAACGTCAGGATGGGTTCCAGTTCTATCCGCTCTATGCATCAGTGGGTGAGTACGCACGTCGAAAGTTCCATGCGTGCAACAATCTATTTTCCTAAGCCATTTGACGCGTTGAATGCGTGCAATTCGCGCGATTTTCTGCTCGCACGTAGGCGTCCAATGACCCGAGTCCTTGATAAACACGTCTTATAATTAAACTACATTCTTTGGAAAACATGTCTTCGCGAAATGTCAATTTTCTTTATATTCTGAGATAACTGAAACTACTGATGCACGCGATGAATTTGTTTCGCGTGCACTTGAAACTGAAACGCGTATTTCCATGCGATGAATATGTATGTTTAAGGGAACGTGCCTAGATAATTGCTTCGGTTATCGAAATATGGATCAGGAAAATTCACGTGACTCACTTGTGGCCCGAGTGGCGCTTTATCGGCGCGTTAAACAATTACACGTAGATACTGACAACAATATTTGAATTTTGCCTTAGGTTCGGCGGTTTGATTCTCGATCGCGTCGTTGAGTTCAATGGATTCGTGATCTTCCAACCTATCATAAACGGGATTGGCGGTAATTTAGTCTCCGTACAAGCGTCTCGAATCTCAACCACGTTACATCAGACCTCGATTATGGGAATTTTACCGCCGAGATCGAAAATGTGGGTTAGCCCGTGGACGGCGCTCTTTAGAGGCTGTAAGTGGTACAATGACGCAAGAATAACTAATGTTGCAGCTACATATTTTTCGCACTTCCACCAATTGCATAATCCACCGTTCGCTTTCGTCCCGCAGCTCCGTACGCGAAAACGGCCAGAATACTCATATGCATGGCGGTGGTCGGCGAACTGATCTTCATTTTCATCGCCGATTACATCAAGCACAAAGCGTCCTCGTTACACGTGTACTTTGTGGTCTCGTACCTTACGGTGGCCGTACTTCAGGTGAGCACGATGACTCCGAGTCATGTGAGCTTAAGGCTCGCCGCGTCATAAGTGAAAGGTCCCGGTCAGGACCGTGAACGATCAACAAATAATACAAATCGCTCGAATCCCGTGTACATTTACCATTCTTCTTTTTTGTTTTTTTTTTATTTATACGACAGGTAATGTTACTGCTGTACGTCGCGCACATCATTATC